TTAATATACTCCTTCTCCGCCAGCCCCCTCGCCGCGTCCCACCCCCACTTAAAAATTTGCCGATTGTTCGCACGACCGGGGTGCATCGCGGTTCTTCGACTCGATCTATTGATTTCTGGTGTCACGTCCCGAAATAGCCGCGGCCGTCGGCCGCACTGCGACGCCGGATGTATGCAACTTGCACGCACCCGCTCTCTGGAATGGGGAGCGCGAGAGGGAAAAAAAAGTATGCACCGCATTTGGGTCCGCACACACACACACATATTACCCCTCTCGCGCGCGGGGTCGACGACCGCGCGCGCGGCTCGGCGCATTTCGCGCAGTTTCGCTCGGCGGCCGTCCGAGGGCCGCCAGCGAGCGGCGAGAGAGTTAACGAGGCCCGAATTTCAGAGAAAGGGTGCTCGCTAATTTGACGCCTAATTATAACTTTGGAGGTCAACCGCCTCTGCGAAGTCAAAGAGTTAATCGCTCTCCGCGTGTCATGTGCCTCTTTCATTCTCACTAATAATAAATTTAATGCCCTCCGTGCGGAGAGATGCAAGTGCTGTTTATTATCATTAAAACAGTGACGTCAGCAGGTTATCCTAGGACATGGCAGTGAGCAGATGACTGCTGCCCTTCTGTCGAGACTCTTTCTTTGTGCTGGACGGAAATGAGTCGCTCTCTTATTCAATTTGCATTCACGAGAGGGACTTATACATTTGCGCGAGTTAATGGAAAACACGAGTAAAAAAAGTGACAATTCTATAATTACACCGCGTCTGAAGGGTGAGATAATTTAAATTTATTCAAATTGCCGTCTGAGCCGAAATTTTCCAGACTCTATCAGCTCGGTTTGCGCGTGCAATTCTGTACAGCGCGGCTGCGTAAACCCCTCTCTATATCGCGCGCGCTCTCTCTCGCCACCGGGGTCCCGCCTCGCGAACTCTCCCCTTTTAGACGCCGTGCAAGGGGCTATCCTTGCCCGAATTGAGGTAGGTTATAGGCAGACGGTCGCGGAACGCTTCACTTCGCGCTCCGCCGTTCCCAACGCACACATCGGACATGCACCCGGGTCAAAGGTCATCTGCACGTAAGTCGTCTGGTTACATGAAAAAAAATGCTGGTACGGCTTCTGTTTATAGGGGTGGACGACCTCGCTACACTCAAAGTCTAAAGTCGCTTATTATCATTATTTGCTTTGAGAAGCGACCGGTGCTTGTATTTTTTTTCTTATGCCTACCCCAACGTGCACGTCGTTAGTCCGCGTATTTCTATTTGCAGCGTTGGGCGTGGGTCGAGCCATTCGTCCGAGGGTAAATAAACAAATTACGCCGGCTGACGAGCGAGAGATAAGTAATCGGCATGGCGTGACCGCGCCGCGCGAACTCTACTCCCACCGTAATATAAAATACATGCCGAGGCAATGAAAAATGAATACGAAAAAGAGCCACGCGGTCGTCGAGTGCTTTTCATGATTTCAGCGCGAAAAAATAATTGGAGCCGACGACGACGGGAGTTGGAGGGTTTAATTTAGCGCAAACTTGCTTGCCTTGGCTCGACCTTAAGGGTGAAAAATATTAAAAAGAAAATAAAAAAGTGGTGCAAATGATAAAACTCGAGTCTATGTGTCTGGGCGCTTTTGGCCTGAAGTGGCGCGCCGCAGAAAACAATGGGCTGCTCATGCGGTGCGTTGCCACTTGTCTAATTGTCCGTCGAAGATGAGAGGGTGGCTATGTTGGTGAGCAGGGTACCGCTGGGATCGATGGCGGAGTGTCTCGTGCCCGCCGGCTCACCAAATAGTGTATTGCACCCTCACTCGGCAGGGAGAGAGAGCCGGGGATGCCTGCCTGCCGCACTCTCTTTCACCAAGCGTAATCCGCGCCACATGCATCGACCGCGCGCGTCTCCCGCCAGCCAGCCAGCCCCATCCATCCATCCACCCACCCTTTCACGAGTACTCTTCTTTTCCATGCCTGTTAATCAAACACATGCACACGCCAGCATGCTCATTATGCTCTCTCGGCACATACATATAGTATGTCTGACGATGCTGTGTTTGCGGTTTCCCTTTCTTCCAAGCTTTGATCCCAGCATATCCTGAAGAGAGGTCATGTTTCTCTTTCGTCTCTCTGCACTTTGCATGGTAACAAACGTTTTTCACCGTTAAAAATAATATTTAATTATCAAAACTTGTTTCAATCAACAAAAAAGGGCATCACAATTGGAGATTCAAATTGTTAATTTTTAATATAATTAAAGAATTGGTAATTTTTTAGTAAAATTTTACTATCGAGGGTTCCTTCTTGGTGATTTGAATTCAGCTTTTCATCAATCGGTTTTGTGAGTTGTTTATTGTTTAAGTCATAATTCATGAGGTATGAAATAATTTGACAATAATTAGTACAAAAATTAATGCTTTTTAAAAAAATGTTTTTCTTTCAAGATAACAACTTTTCGTGTAAAATTATTTACAGTTTTACATTTTTACACAAAATTTGAAAATTGAGTTCAAAATATTATAAAAAATTAACTTGTTGAGAAAATTTGAAATCAATTTTCAATTTTTTTAAAATGTTTTATGTAACAAATGAAGTTTAATACAATTTTACACGAAAAATTATTATCTTCAATGAAAAATATTTTTAAAAGATTGGTTTTTGTACTAATTCTGGCCAAAATGATTCCACAGTTCACGAATAATGGCTGCAGCCCGCAGCCGAAACATGTAGAGCATGATATTGTTTTTATTGAAGAGTAAAAAACTCACAAAACCCGACTACGAAAAGCCGATTTTAAATTCAAATCACCAATAAAAAATTGGCAAGTTTCAACAAATTTTTGATCCGTAATGCTTTTTTTTACTAAATAATTATTAAAATTTGCAGTCGGGGTCAAATCTCTATTAAGCATGAAATCTTGCACACATATGTATGCTTGCGAAAATCGAATCGATATTCTACGGCGGGCGCGGTGATTGATTCTGCAGGAGATTCGTACACATACAGCGCGGAGGCACAGAAGCCAGACAGGGTTGAGGGAAAAAGACGATAATTGCCGTCGCGCTGTCTGCGCCGACTTTTGTTTTGAATGGAAATAGTTCGAGCTGGGATGCCGCCTTCGCCCCCGCTCTTCCCGACCATCCCACACTGCGCGTTAATTTCCGTCGGGGCCAATTCGCTCGAACTTTTAAAAAAAAAAGAAAGAAATGTATTCATAGAAAAAATAAATTCGTCTATTATATAAAAAATTGGGGCGACGCGTCTGAGTGATGTGTGAATGGGGTGCTCATTACCACTTTGAAAGGACGTGTTATGCAACCAACTGGGTTTCGCAAGTTGTTTTGACTTGGGCAAGGGCATGGATTGCTTCTTATAATGCACTCGGCTCGACACATCTCGTGTTCGCGGCCTAATCGGAAAGCCATTTAACCCTTCGGGGGGCCAGCGGCGTGCAGCAGCCGCCGCGTGCGTCTCGGGTTGCAGCATCATTCACGCAGCAGTCACTCACGCCAGAGAATCAAGTGGCTGCACCGGCGTTACTATAGTTACGGGCGTGGCGGGCGCGTCTGCTTTCACAATCAACCCCGTGTCTGCGACTCGCGAACAAATAGTCGCCCCCGTCTGCGCTGCCCGCCGATCCGAATTCGGCGTTTCCAAAACGGCAGCAGCTCTGTTGCCAGGGCGCTCTCGCATCGCAGACAGATCTCCCTGGATCTCTGGTGGGCAAACAGTTTTTTTTTGCGAGAGCTAATTAAGCTTCCAGCGGTTTCTTTGATCGAGATGCACCGCCCTTTCATAAAGAGCGCTCTGGCTGGCCCTTTTTGCACGGATTTTCACACACCAAAGTGTTTACAGTGGTGACACCAGAGACGACACAAGGGGCGAAAAATAAAAATTATTTAAGCCCGGTTCACTTTATTTTGCTTTTTACACAAAATTTAAAGCTCAGTTGGAAAAATTCTAAATTTTTCACTCCTTTGCGCTATTAATTTCTGCAATTTTAATTTATTAAGATTACATTATCTCCATTTAATTTTTTATGAATTCCTCGCACTTACAATTAGTTTCATTTTGGACATGACAAAAGTACCAGCCTCTTGGGGGTCAATTTTCCTTTAATTTTCACCTTTTTTGCAACAATTTTGAGGGAAAATTCAAAATCAATTTTTATAAATAGGTATTCTTTATATATTATTTGCGTTTTTCTAGTTTTAATTTAATATGAAACAATATTAAGATTTTTTATCATGATTATAATTTTAATTTTTAATCTTTGTCAATATCAAACGCAGCCAGTCAGCCATGGAGCGGCGAGCGAGAGTCGCATAACAATTGCACGCCGGAGATTATTATTTCTGTCGGTGCGACCCGAGCATGACTTTGAGCCAAGGCCAGTGTGTGCGAGTGCATGTGTATTTTAACATTGCGCCCGTCGGCGGATCTCAGTCTCAGAGCTGATAACGAATTATTTTGATGGTGCACCCACGAGATGCTGCTGCTGCTGACTGAGCAAACAAAACTCACACATAAAGACGCAAATGGCCTTTCCGTGAATAAAAAGCAGCTCGGCGCTTGAATCTCGGCTGAAAGACGCGAACTTCAAACATTACCAAAGAGAATGTACTTATGTGTATGTGCTCGCCTGCTCTCGGAGAGAGGCAATTGCGAACGGGAGGCGCTGGCAATAATAAAGTCTGCGCCTGAAAGCAGCAAAAAACAAGAGCGCAGCATTACGCTCTGTGCGGAGAGCGAGCTCATCACCCACCGCGGCCCGTAGCAACACCCACTTGTGCAGGCAAAATAATCACCGCCTAATGATAATAAGGCCCTGTAGACAATTCAGCTGCATGCTAAAAGCGTCGTCGTCGAGCCGGCGGGGCTGCTTCGCGATGTACATGTAAAAAAAAGAGAGGAACACGCGCCATTAAATCCCCCCTCGGGCACTTGCATCTTAATTAAAACGCTGAATGGAAGAGAAAAAAATTATGATTCTAAATTGCCGTCCTTTTGTCGTTGCAGATTGAAAGCTGTCACGTAAGATGGTGGTTGTCGACTGAGCAGAATTCACCCCTTGATTCGCCAATGAGACAGGTGAGCTTATAACAAATCCATAAATGCCGCTTTTTGTTAGCTCCGAGATGTACAATTCAGTTTTATGGTGGCGCGACTTGGCAGCCGTTCAAGCCGAATTTCGTAGTCTCATAAATATTCTTTTTGCTTTTTATTATCTCGCAAAGTCATCTTCGGTTCATGGACCGTATTGATCCGTATGGAGAGGAGTTTTGCTGAATCGCCCGTCGCTGACCTGCCAAGGGTGCTTGATGGTTTCACCTCTCTTTCTCTCGCCGGCACTCGACAAAGAAATACTCATACTTATACTCGCAAAAATCTTTGACGCAGACAGAGAATTTCCGTCTCATTAAAAATAATAATTGTAATTATTGAAATCCGAATCCAGTCAAGATCACGCTTCACACGCATGCGAGACGGGCGTGCATAGTTTCGGTGCTCATGACGGTACGACTGTCCCGCCAAAAGTCTTGTCGAGTGGAGAACGCGGCGCGGCGTCCGCAGAGGGGTGGCGTGTGTATGTGTGTATTTTATACACGGCACTTCTTTTTGATCGATTTCGGCGAGAGGCAGCAGAGCCGCCGACTCGCGCCACAAGCAGCTTTGGGTGGCGGGCACTTTGCGGCGCTACCGCCCAATGTTGTGTCTGCTGTTGACCTTCCCCACTGTAGCCATGACCTTGCGTACTCCCGCGCCGAAAATCACCCCCCGACGGCCCCTCTCTCTGCTTTTGCTTCTCGCCAGCGACAAAAAGCAGAGCCGCCCGCCGCCGTCTGCCTCGGCGCTCACGTGACTCGCCCTCTGCTTTTTGCGGCGATTTTTGCGCGCTGCATAGATCGTACGTCGTCTAGACACCGCCGCTGAATTTGGCGAGCGAATTCACATTCGCAGGGCCGCCGATAAATCTGACGGACGATATTGTGTTTCGCGGCACGTTCTCGGTCACTTTTCCGCCCTCCAGACTTCCACTTCTATAGCCAATGCGGCGTTTTTTAATTTTTTCCAACCCGAACGTTATTTATTCCCCGTAATTAAGGCCGCTTTGCATGCCAATTTTGCGTGCCTGCGATCGCAGACAAAGAGAGTGCGGCGCGAATGCAAATTAAAAGGCAGCCGGCTCGATTGTTTTTCAAATTTATCAAAGGGTAATAATTGCGCGCCACCGCAATTAGCCCCACAACTGACGTTCCGTGCGCGCCGCATAAATATTATTATTATTGTTTTTTAAATATCAATTCTAAACCGGTGAAAAAAAAATTCCTTAACGACACCCATTTTGCCATCAGAGTGCCAAAAGAATGTCTGAGTTGTATCATTATTTTATTTTCGCCGCTGCCTAGACTGAAAAACTGCTGCGCATATTGCCTGATAAGCGGCGCCGCCGAGCTGCACACAAATTATCGATTGCGAAATGCAACCTACACCAACCCTCGCGGCAGTGAGGCTGCTGCAGCGAGGCGCAATCATGCGCCTATGGCCCGTGGAAAATTTGCAAGTCGGCTGCGCGGCCCACACACACCAGCACGCTGTCAGTCCGGCCTTGCACTTTGAACGGACGTGCATGTGGGAGTGAGTGAATTATCGATCGAGCGCAGTCTGCACCCGCGGCGGCAGACGCGAGAGTGCATTCGCGAATAAAAGTGCATCTCTCACTTCTGCTGATGCTGCCACAGAGACTAACCCACTGCGGCCTTTGTTGTTCTCTCGTCGGGCGAGCGAAAGTTTCAGCAGCGTCCTCCCGATCAACTTGTGATTTTCCACCCTCGTCTGCCGGTGATTATTTCTTCTTGGCAAACATTATTATTTCCCATTCAAATCAAATAGCTTACAAATCAATTTTCGAGACGTGACTCTCAGTAATTTAGAATTTCACCCATCAAACAAACCAACATTGATTTTATTTTCGATTTCCCACAGAAAAAAATAAATAATAATACTAGTGTCCGCTCGTGTACCAATTTCAAACAATAGGAAGTTCTGCAATTTCGCTCGGCGCTTCTGCACTTGACCTTTGCGCGGAAACGAGTCTAGAGGTCGTGCCAGTTGCATAACTCACTCATTCTGCAGGCGTCATTTCAATGTTCTCTCTTTCGATTGGAAATATTTCCCGTTGTGACGCAAACAATTCTCTTTTTTGTTTGCAGGAAAACATGGACGACGGTGGCCCATGGGACCTTGCGTCCATGCGCGAGGAGGAGTTCGAGCACCGCGCAGTGTATTTGGTGCCTGACGCACCACCAGAGCCGGGATGCCTCAACCGCGCTGAGCAGTCCCTGCCCAGAAACCTTGTGCTCAAACCCTCAGAAGCACTCTCAGACGTAAGTACAAAATTTTAAATTTATAAATGAATAAATAAATAAATATTTTACAATATTTAAAATACTTATATCCAGTAATGAAGATGAAATTTATTGAAATGTGCGATTTTTTTCACGTCAATAAATCAATTTTTTTTTTTTACTTTTTATATATGCGGTGCTTCATAACCAAAAATATGGTAGTATTACACAATGAATTTTCGGAAGAGCTATTTTGATCGGCTTGTCGACTAATTTGATTCTCACTTGTGAGTCTTCATTGATGTCACTGCTGAAGAAAGTTGCACCTATCGTTCAGCCAATGTTGACCGGCTCGCTGGCCAGTGCACAAGCATAATGTACAGTTGCTGGCAACCGACGTGTCCGGGTCACCATTTGCATTGTTGACGTTCGGCGTTTGATTGTTGCAGGTGCTGGGTGTTTGGAGCACCAGTTACATTCCTCGTGGCACGCGTTTTGGGCCACTGGTGGGTGAAATTTACGCCAAAGATGCAGTCCCAGAGTCGGCCAACAGAAAGTACTTCTGGAGGGTGAGTACAAAAAATCTTTAAAATATTTGATAAAACAATATAATGTAGAAGAATTCTTTTATTTTCCAAATAAATTTTTCTTTTCGAACAACAATATAGATTCTTAGCAGAAAAACATTTTTTTTAGTCGGTTTTTTTATAAAAAAAATTACTAAAAATGATATCAATTGTTAAAACATCGCAAAAAAATTGCCATCAGGTCTACAAGGACAACGAATTGTTCTACTATGTTGATGGCTGTGACGTTGCGAAATCCAACTGGATGAGGTACGTCAACCCAGCCTACTCGTCCGAGTCGCAGAATCTCATAGCCTGTCAGTACAAGGTAATTTTTGCGCCGCCCGCAGGAGTTTTGTTTATTTACGGCCGCCTCCGCATTCCTTTCTGTTTGCAGACTAACATTTACTTTTACACGACGAAGCCCATTTTGCCAGACCAAGAGCTGCTGGTGTGGTATTGTCGCGAGTTCGCCGAGAGACTGAAATACCCACTGACTGGAGAGCAGATGCTGCAGCGCATTCGTAAGTACCAAGCGCGAATGTAGGTCTAAAGGTTTCAGCGGTGCGTTCCTCTGCCAGCCTAGATACGCTCAGTTGGCCGAGGTGAACGACCCGCCGGGCAGACTCACTCACTTTATATGTGCTTTGTTATTCCGAAGACTCGTTGGATGATGCGCCGTGATAAGAGCGCGTTGCTTACAACTCTTTGATGTGTGTGCATCAAAGCAGTGGAGAGGTCCGGGAGTAGTTATTATGCTCCAATATATCGCACCGTTATGTTGACCTTAGTCGGTCCCACACACGTATAGGTGACACTTTGGGGAATTCGGAATTATTTCAGAGAAAGCCAGTCGGTGATAACGGGAAAGTGTTTGGTAAATGGCCCCGGTTAATGGCTTCATTGTTCCATGCGTTTGAAACTCACTCGACAAAGGTCATTGATCGATCGACCACTGTTACAAATTCGTAATCCGTTGGCTAAACTTGTTTCATTTTTTTACTTTTGTGGAATCGGCAAACTATCACGGTTCATTACGTTGCTCCAAAGGGAAAATGTAACTTCGTTAATACAGATTAAATTAGCAAAGTTAGGCAGCCTGCGAAGCACAGCTGCGTGCCGGTTTGCATAACTCAATGTTAGCAGGCTGAAAAGGGTCTGTAAAATATTTTTTTTTTTCATTTAACCTAATGCAAAAAAAAAAAAACATGGGATTGGCGAGTAAATTTTTATGTAATTTAGAATTATTTGGGTTTTTTTATATCAGATGAATTTGATTTTTTTTCTTCAATTTTTTATTACACGTGGAATGTGAAAAGAACTGTTTCCTGAATTACATTTTTTCAATGCCGTTGGTTCGCGAATTTTGGAGAGCCCCCTGCCGAGAGTAACCTGAAGCATAACGCTGCGAACTCGTTTGAGTTCAACGACCCACTACCGAAGACGCGTATCTAGGTCAGGATTACTCTTGAGAAAATTATTTAACTTCAAAGCGCTGCGGCTCTTAGAAAGTGTTACTTAACAAGCATCAAGGGCCGTCTACCTTTATTGAGGCTACTATCCTGAATTTTATCGCTCCTCGGAGATCAAGCCCACTTATTTGCGAAAATTTACATTCTGAGCGCGCACACATGCTAGGCGACGCCGCCAAGAATACAAATGCGCACGCTGAAACCTTTGCCTTCCGTCAATAAAATGTCAAACGAATTTTAATTAGAAAATCGGACGTGACATTAATTTTATATTATTAATTTTCAGGATTGACAGTTCAGCAGAACCAGGCGGCAGAGGAGGAGGAATCTGCCAAGATTGCAGAAATCAAGGACGAGGAAGACACGCCGATGGTGGACACTGAGAGCGACCACAAGCAGTCTACGTCCCCGCCTCTGATGGCTTCACCCTCGAGCAAAGAGCACTACGAGCAAAGGTCGAGCCAACTCACCCCCACTGATGGGTCTGTCCGCTCGGACGAGGGCTACCACAGCCATGGCTACCACGACGATGCGGCTTTCACCCCTCCAGAGGACAGCAGTGACTCTGACTCTGAAAATAACTACGTGCTGGACTTCAGGTCAGTAGTTTTTTTATTAAATATTATTTAAAAATAATTATTATTTTAATTTAAGTAATTTTTTTTAATATTATTTAAAATAAATTAAAAAACACTAATTTTATTTATTATTCTTGCAGCAAAAAGCCCAGCGAAAAGTCAAGTAAGGGCAGCGTGGTGAGCTCTGAGGTTGACAACAACAACTACATTTGCGACGAGCCGGCCGACTCAGTCAAGAACGAGTTCCGCAAAGTCAAAATCAAGATCTCCAAGGCCTATCACTACAAGACCAAGTCTGACGTGGCCGCCAAGGCCGCAGCTGCCGTCATTGCCCTGGTCGAGGCTGAAAAAGTTGCCAGTCCTGAGCCAGTGACCCGAGCTAAAAGTCCCATCCTGGTCGCCACGAGCACCACCACCGAAGCCATCAAGGCTCCCAGCAGCCCGGTGGCCTTCAAGCCCTACAAGTCTTACTACGAGGACAACCCCTCCGGAAAGAGTCCGCCCGGCTCCAGCATCCTGGAGAACATCCTGATGAGGCGGCTGGACATCAACGGGGGCGGCAATGTGAGGCGGTCTCTGGACTCGGCCGTCTCCACCAGCGAGGTTTCGCCCTCCAGCCCCACGGAGATGGCCTATTCATACAAAAAGTCGCATCGCTACCACGCGATGCCCCTCAGCCCCGATTCCAGCTCGCACCAGCAGCCCCCAGTGGTGGTGCACGTTTCGCCGCCTCCACCTCCCCACCAGGGCAGCCCGACGCAGTCGTCTCCGACGCAGTCGTCTCCGACGCAGTCGTCTCCGACACAGTCTTCTCCGCCGCCGCCTCCACCGCCTCCTCCGCACCACCCCCACGACCTGTACGGGTCCCCCTTCTTTGGAATGTACCACCACGCGCCTCCAGGCTTCCACCACCCCCACGCCCAGGGGCCGCTGATCCACTCGTCGACCTCCAACTCGCCCCCGTACATGATGCAGCACTCGCCGCACATGAAGTCGTACTCGCCGCCCCCGGGCAGCGGCCTCCTCTCCCCCCTGCACATCCACAGCTCGCCGCCCGGCATGCAGAGGTCACCGTCGCACTCGTCGCTGTCGCCCTGCGGAAGCCCCATGAGCCCCAACACGGCCGCCGCCAGGGGCTACAGGTCGCTGCCGTACCCACTCAAGAAGAAGGACGGCAAGATGCACTACGAGTGCAACGTTTGCTACAAGACTTTCGGCCAGTTGTCCAACCTCAAGGTGCACCTGAGGACGCACTCGGGCGAGAGACCCTTCAAGTGCAATGTCTGCACCAAGAGCTTCACCCAACTGGCCCACCTGCAGAAGCATCACCTGGTGCACACAGGTAAAAGATAATTTAACAATTCTGATTTTTGTTTTAATTTTAAATTTTGATTTATTAAAAACTGGTTGCGATATTGATTTTTGGTGATTTCAACAGGAGAAAAACCTCACCAGTGTGACATCTGCAAAAAGAGGTTTAGCAGCACCTCCAACCTCAAGACTCACCTCAGGCTACACTCAGGTCAGAAGCCCTACGCGTGTGACCTTTGTCCTGCCAAGTTCACCCAGTTCGTCCACCTGAAGCTGCACAAGCGGCTACACACAAACGAGCGTCCCTACACATGTCAAGGCTGCAACAAGAAGTACATCAGTGCCAGTGGACTCAGGTATGTACTACCTTCGAATGTTGGACAAAATTCAAATTTTATTTCAAGTGCTTGAGCTCATGCTGGAATTATGTATTCACAGAACACACTGGAAGACAACTTCCTGCAGGCCAAACAACATCGAAGAAGAGCTTGCTTTGGCCGGTGCGTCCCCTCCTGGTCTCTTTTACGAATATGCCTCATCTGAAGTAAGCATAGGTGTGTATTGCTCTTGCTACTATTACTTTTTCCAACTTTATTTTGAATTAACAATTTCATTTTAAATTTCTAAATGCCTTTTTTGTGTCAGCAGGCAGCGTAGAAAAAGAGGCCCACGACATGGACTCGAGAGACTCTTTCGAGGGCCGTGGTGAGAGCGTCCTCGAGGTGCACCACCACCTGCAGCACCCTCACCTTCTCCAACACCCACACCAGCACCACCACCAGCCTCCGCAGAGGCCAAGTGTGATCGAGTCGTCGCAGCACCACATCATCGAATGCACCTAAACGTGATAGAATTAAATTAGTCAGCCTCCGCGCTCCCACTGACTGCCTCCGGGACCCACTTTGTAATAAGAAGTCCCGCCGGCGAACCTTCTGGACGTAAACCCACCGCCCCTCAAAGTCTCACCACTCTCTGCTTTTCGTTGTTTCGGTTTTCTGTGCGCGCGCGCTTTACGTGTAAGCATAAATAATTATCGAATATTAGATACACACAGTATAATCCACACTCATACATACTGCAAGACAAAAAGGCAAAAATATTAGAGCGATCCGGTAATTGTATTCAAGTAAAATCGGGAAGAATTCTCTCTCTCTCTCACTCTCTGCGTACTATTTTGAATTGTGTACAAATTTCATGTTCAATTGGATGACTGTTACAAAAATGTTGCATGCAAAATTACTCGAGAAAATCCGTCTCAGGCAATTAATAATCCTCATTTTGGTGGTAAAAAACACAATGTTGAAGCGTAATATCTCTATTTAATTATACTACATACTCACTCACTCAGACAAACACACACTCTCACTCACACACGCATATATTGTTATCTTGAATGTGATATCTGCTCCTAGGCAAAACTGCGCTACTGATGTAATATTTTCTCTGTTAGTCTCAACGATAGTCCGCTAACCGATTCTTTTACGTGTGAGTGACTGATCTGCTTGGGACGGGGCCGAGGTTTGGCTGGTGCAATTTGCAATTGATGTGATATATATAAACACAGACAGACTTCAAACTCGCAGTCTGTTCTGCTTCCTTTTAAAATCATCTAAAATAATCATCAGTCGCAACCGACGCCGACTCTCGAGCAGAGAAAACATGCAATACAAAAGAAACACTACTAAACTGTCTTTACCGTAGAATATCCGAACATAAAAGAACTAAAGAAACTCCGAGACAGACAAGAAGTACCGTAGCTCAAGTCGCTAATGTTCAAATGCTGCAATTATTAACTAATATATACACGACATATAACCTTAGATGAAATTTGTAGTGAGTGATTTGATGCAAAAAATAAGCCGAGTCAACTATTAACTAACACACAATGGATGTGCTCAGCCTGTTATATAGGCAGCCCGCTATTTATCTATTTTTATGCCAGGCATTGGTTACTTTTTTTCGGTCGGTGTGTTTTCACAGTTGGTGTGGAGCAAATGTGTGTAACTTGCCTGGACACGGTTCCTCATGACCTGTCCAACTGCAAAACTGAACAGCATCCCTCTAATGTCCTGTTCAATTAATAGAGATGCCATGATCTCAAAATTCTGAAACAGACGGTTTTGCAACGAGAAATATAATTCGCAACACTCGAGGATGAGTTTCTAAAATGTTAGACTTGCTGCTTTTATATAAACATATTATATTATACTGTAATAATTGTATTGTACTCGCAAAAATTAAATACACTCACTCACCGTAGCAAACAGACACTTTATACACGCAAAGTTCGTGTAACACACACTCTTGATATAAAAGTTTATTATACAATTTTTTATAAGCTAGGCGTCCTCTGCTAGAATTTGTATCTTGATGATGAACATGAGAGGTGTTTGTCGACGAACTGCTGCTTGAGAGAGAAAAAAAAACACCGTTTTTGGATTAGCCACACTCGAAAATTCTCATAGTCCCAGTTTAGACGAGCAAATCGACCAGACATAGCTATCGAAACGAAGAGAGATTTAAAAATAAATGAGAGAAAATTAAAATGAGAAACTCTTTCGGACATATTTGTGCCTTGGATATTTATATAGAAAATTATTGCGTTTTGCATCAACTGAACTAAGAGAAGTTGAAAAAGTGAAAAAATACATTTAAAATTAAAACACAGAGACACACACATACATTTTTGAGCAGAGAAAAGAAGAATTAATTTGCGAAATCTTAAACTGAGAAAAGTAGTAGACTAACGAAGAACAGAGGCAGTTTTATCGTTCTCTATACTGTACATTTAGTGCTCTAGTTTTTAGTCGTGTAAATTAAAAAAAAACGAGAAAGAGATGGAGACGAGATAATTTATTTTCTTAGTTTCTAGTTGTTGAAATGACGATAATTTATTAAATTGAAAATGTAGTATTTATGTAACTTATTCGGTTGTAAATAGATTGTTAATTTATTATTTTTGTCAGACACACTAAAATTGCCGCCTTTCGCATGCAAATCGCGCTCACGCTCATACCTCGTATGGGACGCTCACCGATTTTTGTACTGTATTTTTTAATATCTCATTATAACAATAGCGGCGACGAGTTTGAATTATTTTGGCAAATCGACCCGTCGTGGATTTGCGTGCGAGACGCGAGCAATTGCAACCATTTGTATAAAAATTACGTAGAATTGATAAGGAGAAAACACACACGGGAATCCTTCATTCCAAAAGCAGAGCATGATCCGATTCGTTTTCCAATTTTCCGCAACCAACCAACCAACAGAAAGTGAAGCTTGTGTCATTTTCTATAATTGCTTCTAAATAGAGTTCAGTGTTTATAAATGTATCAAACAAAAAACACGAGAGACGCGCCAAACACTATCCAATAGCAGAGGCATATTGTGTATTAGGAGAAAAAAAACTGACAGAAAATCCGGTAAATTAAAATTCAATTGCTAATAGGTGTCATTAATTAAAACACACACACATGCGCAGTTATATAATTACAACTCACGTAGCCACTGATCAATAAGAAGAATATTACAGTCGTACAAACTACATACCTAAAAATAACTCAGTAATTACTCACGCAGAAGTAACAATTGTTTGTCCCAAGGGTGGCCGAGTGGGGAACAAATTTCGCAAACACCCTCTCGCGCCCTTAACTCTCGCGCTAGCTGAATGATTTTCTGAGACGAGCCTCCATATTTAATATTGTTCAGTTGAGCTAGAATACACAAATGATAGGCAATATTTACTACAACCTAGATGGCTTTTTGTGAATAATATACAACAGCGCCGCCGGTTTTTTGTATTTTCGACACGCATTAACTAACTCTCGTGTCATCGATTTTTGACATGATGATATTTTTCAATTTCTTATCCAGCCGAGGATTTTTGTATTTATTTTGAGATACGTGTACGTTAATTAAACTCGAATATACATACAAAGTAGACACACACATACATACACACACATGTACTGTACGTTTTTTCAAGAGTTTGTTTTTCTGCAAACTCGTTTTGGATCGATATATTGTACTAACTTCATATAAATACGAACCGACACACAAACAAACAAACAAACTCACAAGCAGATGTAATAGTTACAGAAAAATAATAATTACAATTATGATTATCGAAGTATGCGGAGAGGATATTCGTAAAACGGCGCCCATCATGTATTTTTGAACTTTATTTTCAGTTGCGATCATTTTTGTTGGTTGATTCAGAATAAACAAGCGTGTCCTGCTGGGAAATACACTCGTGCTCTCTTAATGCAGAAATTGAAAAACCAAGGAAAACGAGCACTTTATAGGTTGCGCATTATATATAGTGACGAAGCTGAGATGTCAAGTGTAAATTGTTATGTATTTATGGTCAAAATGTGTTAATTATTTATTGGTACATAGATATGATATGTTGATGTTATGTTGCGTGTGCATTCGGATGAAATAATGTATCTCTTTCTCTCTGTCAATGGATTAGTGTTGCAATCACTCTCTATCTCATAAACATACTCACAAAACAAACAAACACACAACTGATTGTGCAGGAGCGAAAAGAGATCATTTACGAGAAGCAGTGTTTTTTATTTGTAATTCTCATTGTTATTTTGAATTTCATTTCACCATGACTGAAGCCATATTGGAAAATTGAAAAGAAATAAAAAGAAAATAAATATAAATCTTTTGGTTTTTATTGAAAAACTGATATCTTTACCAAGAAGACAAAAATTTTTAACTATGAAGCATTATTTACAAATACACAAATAAGTTTATGATAAAGTTTAAAAAATAATCACTTTATTATTACTTTTTTTTAAATAAATTTTAAGAAGAATTTTAATATTTTTAAAAGGAATTAATATGAATTTAAAAAAAAAAAGATTTAATAATAACTACTTGTTAACTCTGTTGGCAGCTAAGGCAAATAAATAAGTCGTCATATGGGACTCTTAGAAAAATCATAGATGGTCGCTGAAGTAAAAAAAAAATAAATTATTTAATACGTAAAATCGATAATGACCAAATTTATTAATTTAGCATGCCAAATGCAATAATAAGCCTATGGCAAAATCTCTTATTTATATTACAAGTTTCATTTGTAAAAAAAAATTATAAAATTGAGCGAGAATGTAGAGACATGAATTGCAATTAAGAATAAAATTATACTCGCTGCCTCAACACATTTAAGTGCAGTATCTGATAAAAATGAAATTTCTTATTCCCTCTGCTAACCTTTCGCAAGATTTGTTTGAAAAAAATCAAGCTTACGATTCACAATCAAGTATCCTAATAATTTACACTGAATATTCTAACTGCCCGCAGAAAGGGCTAAAATTATGATCAAGTAAGAGTCTGTCAGTATAAAATAATTTATTTCTCTTTCAAAGCTGATTAAAATAGTGTCTTTTTTTAACGAATTTTCAATGTATGATCTTTATTTTATTATTCAAAAACCTTTTTTTCAGAAAATGTATGCGTTTTCTCTCCTAACGCATGTTTGTTTTTCTTAAGTTTTGTAGATTTATTTGGGGCAGTGATTGCCTTGTGGTACTTCAATGAACTAAATCTACAACTTTTTTTCTTTATTTGCAGCTAAATTTGTTCATCGTGGCGTCCAAATGCAAAATCTTTGGAGTGGAATATCCAAAAACTGTACAATTTATATATATTTATAAACATTTTGGTAAAAAAAATCGGTGCTCTTTCCGTACGTGCCAAATAGCACCAAAAAATCAACATATTATTCATAAAATAAAATTATAATTTATTGCTTTTAATGGGAGTTTCTGCTAATTTTTTGCTCTAATTAAATTTTTGAAATTGCCACGAAGATTAAACAGCAATAAATGTTTCAGATATTCAAACAAAATCTGATAGAATTCTGATACAAGCAAATGGCAAATAATTGTCATTTCTTACGCACATAATTAATTCAATATCGCTAGTAAGGAGATGCGAATATATAGTAGGGAGCAAACGGGACTCGTTTGGCACGTGCAAAACCCGCCCCTGCAGAACTCTCGGGGGAGAGCGGCCGTGCGGCAAGAAAGCGCGGCCACGTGCTGCTCGCGTGAACCGCGGCCTATTCATCTGCAAACTCCTGCGCTCCCCGCCACCGTTTCGCAAATTTGCATATCGAGTTTCGCGGCGAGCGCGCGCGGAACCATTGGACGGCGCGCGATCGCGACTCCGCCTCCTGGTCCTCCGCCAATTCTTGCCAATTTCTACGCCGCTGAACGCGATGGAGGACAACCGGCAAATTGCACACCAATAAAGCCGGCAGTTTGTGAAAAAAAAGTAGCAGAAACGACATTTGCTTTTATATGAAAACAATTACTCGAATACAAAATTTATGATTTATTATTTTATATTTTTAAAAACCGAAAATTTTAATTTTGAAGAGGTTTTTACGTGGATTTCCTGAAACTGTGCTTCGAAGAATGGAATGCAATACAAAATATTGATTTTTAACTGAAAATTTATATCTAAAATTGCTCAAAAATTAATTTTTCAATTAAAAGTCATAATTTTGGTTTGTATTCCATTCTTTAAAGCCAAGTTTTTCTCGCACAGTTTCAGTAAATCCAGCGAAACCTCTTAAAAATTAAACCCTGAAACACTTTACAACACAAACAAAGACACTACGCTATACTAATTAGAACAGAAAAATACACGTACAATAACAATTATCTGAGAAAATTTTAATTTTAAATTATTGTTTAACACAAAGGTTTGTATTTTTGGATAAAATAAATTGCAATAACTATACTTAATTTAAATATTATTTATATTAACAAATATTTTCTTTTATCATTCTCTTCTTAAATGAAACTAAATTGGAGTTGAAAAAGCTATGGTAAAATTAATTAGCGGAACTGAATTTTAATAAATATAAGAGAAAGTTTTTAATTTAAGTTTGCAAAATTTCTACTGTCGCAAGCCATTCAAAATTTTTGAAACCCTGAACAGACAAATTTGCAGATCGTTTTTGAAGACATGAAAAGCGTTTTGAACTGCAAGTGCGCCCAGAGACTGTGAATAAGTGTGCGGAAGCTTTTCAATTAATATAATTGCATTCATTGCATTAAACCATTGATTATTCTACTAGGCTTTTTTATTATATTTATCGATGTTTATATCACATAAATTTTTGTATTCAAAAAGATATATTAATTCATACACATAAACACAACCGCAATTCCATAGAAAATACAGCAAAATTAAAGGTTTCTTTACATAACTAATGTGTTATTAGTTTTTACCTGAAAGTTATTTTTAAATTATTAAAATAATGATATTTAATAATAATACAATTTTTTTATATGCAGTATAACTATGGTAACAAATTAAAAATTTTGCCTTAAAATAGTTTAACTTTGAAAATAAAGTTAAAATAACTAAATAAAATAAAATATATTAGAGAGCTAAAAGCTATTTTTATCATTTAAAATTTATATTAATTAAAATTTTTAGTTTTAAAATGATAAATTGTTATGTATTTATACACTTGAACAACAATTAAAATTTTAAAGTAAGGAAAAAGCCAAATACGCTTTTGAAAGATTTATATAATATTAATCGTCGGTTAATCCAGGTGCTGACCAATGGACCGAAAATCACCGAATGGACAGCCGAGGTCAAGTGATTGACGGGTTGAGTCATTTGAAAGGGTCAAGTCGGACAGAAGTCGGTGGCGTAACTGCTTTTCGCAGTCGCTTTCATGTCAAAACAGCAAAAAGTTTCCGCTCTTCTCACTGCAAACTTATTTTTGTTGTTTCGCATTCAACAAGCGCAACGCACGCGGCCATTTGTCATTCAAGTGCGCGCCGTTTGTTTTTCCCTCGGAGAACAAATAATAAAATGAAAAAAAAAACCACAAGGGACCGCACAATGCAAATGCGTTGTTCTGAATAATCACGAATAATGAGCTCGACATGCAGCTATGCAGCGGGGAGGAGGAAAATAAATAATGAAATGAGCGCTATCAATGGGGGTTTTTTGTGTTTTTCCACTCGGAGATTATAAAGAAAGACTCTTGACTTTTATATGGCGTTTGATTGACGCGGCGGATATCAAAATGGGAATTTGAATTTTGTTTAGAGGATTCACGAAAAGACTAGAAGTTCCATAAATCTGAACACGGAAAATTATTTTAAACTGGTATTTAATTCATTTTTATAAAGTTATTATTTTACCTGCAGAAAAAATACGAAAGTAAAGAATTAACTAAATTATTTTTCTGCAACTCATAAATTCATATTGTCAAGTTGAAAAAAAAAATTAAAAGTTTTCATTTACAATTGTTTTCAACAATTGAATGTAACAATTTGGACAAAAAGGCAACAATAATTTAATATTGTGGTAGAATTTCACGATCGAGGGTTGATTCATGGTGATTTGAATTTAAAATCGGCTTTTCCTCGATGGGTTTTTGTGAGTTGTTTATTGTTTCAGAAAAAACAATATCCTGCTCTACATGTTTCGGCTGCGGGCTGCAGCCATAATTCATGAGCTGCGAAAATTAGTACAAAAATAAAACTTTTTCAAAATTATTTTTCTTTCAAATTGACAATTTTCCGTGAAAAATTATTTAAAATAACATTTCTTCACAAAATAATTTTTAACACAAAACTTGACATTTAATTCTAAATATTTTTTACAAACATAAATTTCCTTTTAGTAATTTAAAATTAAATATTCTGACCAAAATTAGTAAAATTACTATTAGAAAATTTATGTTTTTAAAAAATATTTTGAATTAAATGTCAAGTTTTGTGTTAAAAATTATTTTGTGAAGAAATGTTAATTTAAATAATTTTTCACGGAAAATTGTCAATTTGAAAGAAAAATAATTTTTGAAAAAAAAAATTATTTTTGAACTAATTTTTGTCAAAATGTTTTCGCAGCTCATGAATTATGGCTGCAGCCCGCACTCGAAACATGTAGAGCAGGATATTGTTTTTTCTGAAACAATAAACAACTCGCAAAAACCCATCGAGGAAAAGCCGATTTTAAATTCAAATCACCAATAATTTAATAATTAGAAGCAATAAAAATTATATTATTTTCATAATCAAAGAAATATACAAAGCTCTGTTTGATTTTAAAGTCAAATTTAATGGAAATTAAATTTGAACTATATTTAAAAAGATTATATAAAACACAAAACGAATTATAGTACTTTTGCTTATGTTCAACACAAAAATGTTGAACTGAACATAACACATAACGCAAAATGATAAATGATCCTCATGCAGGTATGATATGATTGTTGTTTTTTAGACGAAAACTATTTGACGACTTTTAATTATAACTTCCAATTTCCAATACTCCAATAATATTCTAGTAGGACTCGTTCACGTTTAAAGGAAATTAAATTAAAAATTAAAAAATTATCGTGCCAAATAAAGAGATTTCAACGCTCGAGTTTGTCTGAACATATTTGTCTGGCAAATTTGTTCAAATTTAAAATACACTCTTCCTCAGTACAATCAATAAATTGAACCTTATATATTGATTTTAAACATGATGTCTCTATCAGAATTTAAAACGTTTGGCAGTTTAATAAAATTTTGTAATCAGGAGCAGACAATCAATCATAAATATCTGCTAATAAATTCATATATCCCTGTCAGCGCACACGTTGTGCCGAGTAATTACGCAGTTTCCAACAGTAGAACAACAGCTTGACGAAGACCGTGAATAATGCTCCGACAAATAATTAAATTTAGATCAAGACTGCACGGCCGGTCGGCCCTCTGACTGTTCTCATAAATACTATCATGAGGAAAATCTCACGAGGCGCCTCATTGTTTGTAGGAAGCGCTACTCGATTCGTAATTCCCATTACACTTTTTCCTCTTGATATTCGCATTACCTACTGACACGGGTTGATAATATTCTTCCTTGTTCCTAATATATTTGCTCGTTTTATAAACCTTAATTTACAATTCTCTGTACACGCACATTGTTGTCTGTGCAACATCTGCCAGCTCGCAGTCTCGTATGTAATTTCCTCCAAAATTATTTTCCTGGTCCTGCCTTTGACCCCCTAGCAGTGGCGCCTGCTGCCACTTTGTGCGCGCATCCTGAGCAAATACTCCAAATCAATATTGGAAGATACGTAGCACGTCTGCTGATAAAAAAAAATGCTCCATCTTGTTATCCCCGTTTGAGAGATAAGCCAGCAGCGTTTTACAAAAAAATGTTTATTAATGAGTTTTTGGGAGAAAATTTTGAGTTTTCGTTGCACCGCCTTGAGAGGTTCACTTCTTGATGAGCGCGGCAATAATTCAAGCACGAGTCTTTTCTTATGTTGCATCCTCGATACCTGACCAGGCAATAAAGCAGCTGCATTCCTGCCGACCCGCGGCCGCTGCGTTTCGTCCATAAAAACGCATCCGAGCGGCCATCATTATTATAAAAGAGCGAGCTCGCTGCCTGGCGCCTTTAATTAAAAGTAGATCATCTCATACAAGTGCATCGCCGACGACGTGTTTTTTTTTATTTCACTTTTCCACTGCGTTTTTGTTAACGAGAAGATGATACGCTTCTTAATTCTTTTGATAATGCTGTGGATTTCCAAATGCAAAGAACGATTTTTGAGGTCATTGTATGCAAAAACAAAAAAATACAAAGGGATTTGAATTAAATTTTATGAATAAATTCAAGAATCATTTCTTTATTTTTAAACTGCGAATGCTTTTGAACTGAATGCATTTTTTATTATTTCATTTTGAATTTTTATATTACAGAATCACTTTCTATGTGAAACTATGTTAAATAAAAAAATAATTCATATTTTGAGAGTTTGAATGATAAATTATATTAATGGAAATCAGATGTATTTTCCTAAATAGAATATAATATATTACATCCCCAACCAAGCAACCAAGCCACCGATATTATTTTTACAGTTAGAAGTAAAATTTTCAATGAAGCATTAACATTTTAATAAAAAAATAACATTATATAAAAAGTAAGAAAAATATTGCATTAATAATATCATCAATAAAAGCTAAATTTTTTTTAAATTGTAAATATAATATATGAGTAAAAAATAAATTAATATTAAAAAAAGAAACACGTTAAAGGAAATTACAAAACTATTTTTATATTAAGAAAAAAGTTTAATGTTTGTTAACTTATTTTTTGTAACTTTTAACGATTTATTTTGCTTTAAAAATAAAATTTGTAAGATAGAGATAATTTTAACTGTACATAATAATTAACCGAGGATATTTTTTGTATAATTTTGTATAATCTCTAATTTCACTGCTTGCAATGCTTTTTCTTCTCGGTATTCGTTTCCTTGCGTACTTGCTTACATCCCTCGTCCTTGTTTGCCGAGTGAAGAGTGAAACTTGGCCTTGGAAAATAGCAACAGTCACAGATTTCTTCACACAAAAGAGAGCGAGGGTCTTTTCCACGACGATCACACCATTGTGCTCGGGGGTGCATTAACAAGAGGCGCTGAAAAAGTTTAACGGGGCTCCTCGTTTTCTACCTGCCCTGCTCACATATTTCTCGACAAAAAGTACAGGCGGGCTACAAAATCTTCGCAGCTGCTCTTTATACGCACCCCCAAAAAAATAAGAAGTCTCTTCAGAAATTTCGTGACAAACTGTTTGCTTCACGTTATCCTCTGAAAACTACAAAAACTGCAACTATAGATTTTTGATAAATTTTGAATCAGAGTAAATTTTAATTAATGATTAAGCATAAAGAACGCAGGATTTCGTGTTGAGAAGGGTGCACTTTGCATCCCAGTTGTGCGCCCATTTTTATTTATTTATTTAAAAACCAAATTATATTTAGTTACAATAATTCGTTAAGAAATTTGCAGTATGTCCTGTCTGAAGCTATATTTCCGAAAGCAAAAATCAGTTGCAAATTAATGTAGTAGTTTACAACAGAAAAACGCTACACATCCATAACCAACAAACAGAAAAATTAAGACAAAAAATAAAAATTTAAAATTTTTATCAAAATATTAATCACTTAAAACAGAATAGTTTTTTAAAAAAATATAAAATTATAAATAAATTTCCCTCAATTCAATTTGATATTTTGACATTTTGTAAAAAAACAATTTTAAAAATTAAGATTTTGAAATATTTTTTCAAAACTTGATTATTTTTTCTTCATAGCATTGGTTATGTTTACTGTTGAGAGAATTGTACGGCAGGGCCGGCGCCGGCATGACTCTTGAGGGCGGACGCGGATTGGTGGGGCTTGGCCTGGAGCGGCGGCCGCGTGACTCTGACGAGAGGAAAAAGCAGCAGCCGAGGCAAAGCAAAAGCACGCGGTACGCCGGCGACTCAACAACAACAGGCCCCAAAGTCCATCATATCGTCCGATTTTGACCGTCGAGGACGCTTTGGACACGATGACTGAGGAGATCAGCACCTCAGGACCGGACAGCTCGGTCGCGCAGGGCGAGCAGCGATCAGGTGAGGCCCGAATTTCCAGCTTTTTTACCGATTTGGGCGCCGCGCCGGCCGAGCACATGGCCGCCGAGACCGAGGGAGCTTTGGGCGCGCACCCACTTGCTCGGAATAGCCGGGAATAGCATTCATTATTTCCAATAAAATAAAATCTATCTTGGTATTTTGAAAACGGTTTTTCTGTGAATATTTAAGTATTTAAATTTAAAATAAATTAATTTTATTACAAATAATTGCATTAATAATTATTACTTCCGTTGATTTTGTACATATTATTTTCTAATTTTAATCTTGATCTTTATGTAATTAAATACAAAACAAAATAATTTTTAGATTCTAGATAAATAAAATTAAACACCGTGAAAATTCCTCTAATAATTTACACAATTTTACAACTTATATTGAAAATTATGCATAAAATACCAAACTTAAAATAGATTAAATTCAAATAAAGTGAAAAATGCAGACGGAAAAATTGCAATCGTTTTTGCCATGAATGAGGTGGCCAAGAGTGATTAATCAGACAAGTCACGGCGCTCTTTGGGAATGAATCAATCTAGCGCGCCACGCGAGTAGGAAAAGAAAGACCGACCGACTCATTGTCAGGCGCCACCAGCATGACGTGCTCAATTTTGCACTGTTAGAAAAATATCTAGAAAATGCAAAGAATTTCCTGATACATTTTGCCATTCTCAAAATTCCCGACGTCACGACGCCATCGAAGCCACAATTGAATTTTGACTTATTTGTCTTATTTTGTTTTTGTCCACAAGCATGTTGTTCAAAATGAAAAATAATAATAAAACTTTATGAAATTACATCCAAAACGTTATAGAGATCACAAAGAAAAATGAATGCGAAGAAAGTATTTTGTCTTTTTTTTTATAATTTGTGCATTTTCTGAAATAAAATTCGTTGCGCATAACAAATGTAATAATCAATCATTAATTTATCAAAAAGTGAGAAGGAAGTGCAAAGAAAACATTTTTTCTTATTCACTTGTAGGTAAATAGATTTCTTAAGTGCTAAAATTTCCAAAAATGATAAAATAAATTCTCTGTGCTCTTGAATATCCAGCATGCTTTGTTCTTTATTGAGACAAATGAATGAATCATAATTAGGAATTTTATTTTGCATTTTTCCTGATAGTATTCATAATCTTTTAAAAGCTTATTTGCTTATAAAACTTACTTTAATTTTCGCCTGTTGACATTCTGATTCATTCTCATGATTCATTAAATTTTTTTTTATGCAATTTTTTTAACAAAAACAGAACAGTTATTTCTAAAAAGAAACAAAACTCTTAGGAAAAGCGGTCCACCATCAACTAGCAAGATTTTTTGCTGGAACAATCAAAATCGGTAAAAATCTTGTTCTGCAGAGAGTCTTGTATTGGTTTTCTTTTCCTTTTTCTTATTAAATTGTAACACTTAATATTATTTTAAACAAATAAAATTAAAATTACAGAAAAAGTCTACAAATTTTGGGATTGAAATGGCTGTGGGGATAAGAATAAAACTTTTTACCCGGTTTTACAAAGTAATTGACTGACTAATTTGAAACACTTCTGAAATTTCAGCTCTAAAAATGACCAGAAGTTATTATTTCCGCTTTGTAATGATTAATTGAATTCCAATTATTTCTATTCCACTTGTGAATTATCACTTTTTGCGCGGTGTGAACAAGCAAGTCTGTGAAGGGGTGGCAAAAAAAAAAAAAATTAGCACGCGCTTTGAAAGTGATACTTGTCGGACGAATGCGCGAGCACAGGTGGGCCACTCGCTTCGCTCTCGCGTTCAATAGTCATTTATTTCGCGCGCGCTTGCCATTTCTATGCACGACAGGTTTTTCTTCCATAGTTTATAATTTGTGCATTTTTTTTCTTTAATTCGCCCTCTTGTGCAGCCAGACAGGATGCTGCTCTCTTTACAATCGGTCTCTCAATCCCATCTTTGCTAACTGGAGAAAAAAAATGTTTTCGCCTCCGAACTAGAGATTGGCACAAAACCGCCGCTCTGCGATTAGCACAGCTGCTCTATTTTTGTATAATTTATTTTCCCGTGAAAGATGCTATCGGTTTTTGTTGAGATTCTTTCAAAATTCCTCTCACTCTGACGGTGGCAAGATGACCACGGGTGTTTTCGGCAGGTGCAAAAGATTTAATGCACTTTTATCAAGATCACTGCACTCGCGCGTTTATCAGCGGCTAATAATTATATCACTAAATCGCCACACGAGACCTCGGGCGACGCTCGTACAAACCATCAATTTTAATTGGACCGGCTACTTATGGAAGATGCGATCGATTTTTTAAATGTGTTGTTTACAAAAGCGAAAATTGGTAAAGTCAACAGCAATTTGAGTTTCAGCATTGATGATGAAAAGCACGAGAACGAATTGATTTACGCATTTTCTATCCGTCACACATGAAATTATTCTGTGTGAGCGCAAAAAGTCTGGAAAATGTTCATTTTTAAGCTTACATGCTTTAATTTTTTTAAACCAAGTATAGAAAAATGATAATGGATCCGGTTGTTCCCTTTTTTTAAAATTAATTTTAGAATTATTATTATTGTTGTTTATTTGTCCACATTGTTACAAATACATTGTTTACATTCAATTTTTGAAAAAGAATTATTTAGGTTACTCTGCACATCTTCTATTATCAACAGAGCTTATTTTTAACAATTAAAAAAATTAATCTCCAAATTTGGAGATTTCAGATGAAATCTATAAATAAATAAATGTCCATCAAATTTCTTAGTTATTTGAAAAATATCCCAGATGTCATATCAGTAATTTTTATATACATTTACTTGCATTAGATTATAATATTTAATTTTATTTTTTATAAAAACATAAAGAAAGAGATAGAATAAGGTTAATAGATTTTCATTATATTTAATTCTTTAAAATTAATTACTTTATAATTAAATGTTTTATTATTAATTTATTTTTTATAGTTTTTGTTTTTTGCAGACACTATACAAGAACTTTATTATCAGTTAATTTTTTTCCTGAAGGAAAAAATATTTAATCAGGCTGCTAAGCATAATGATTGCCATGAATAAAAATAATTTTTTTTACGACCAGATTAAACAGTTTACAATTTTATTGATGCAGATTTACTTCAATTATTTACCAATTCTGATAACATAAGTTTTCAAATGTAATGAATTGAAATCAAACCACAATGCGATATATTTTCTGCCTATATTTTGTTTAAAAATTTAATAAATTTATGGGAAAGGCGTGTTTCAAAAATTAAAACCACAAGCAATCCTTCGTTTCAATGGGCTCCTTTGGTGGAAAAAAATGCCAAACCCAAAATAAATAAATTATAACAATTAAAACCGAAATTTTAAATACGATCTGTCAGGATTTACTAAAATTAATTTTACATAAACAAATAAGAACGGAGGACCAACTTTGATAAAAATAAAGATCATAATATCGTTTTGATCCTTCAACAAACAGATGCTTCTGTTGTCCAACAGCCACAAAACCACGTCGCTGATGCCGAATAATTTTATCAAATTGCGTTCCAAGATCAACTGCATTCCTCTGCGCCGGATAAAGATGCAGGCCTGTGTGGCTCATCTTTGAACTCTCTTTCTCTCGGGCAGGGTTTAAAGTGCAGCGTGTTTATAAATGCAACATCGACTTCCGTTGCCGCGCTCTCTGAAAATATTTAATCGCGCACAAAGCAATAACAATATTTCATCCGTCACAAGAACGGCAGCATCTTCTCACGAGAGGGCAGAGAAGAAAGAAACTGTCGATTTGTATCGCAAGAAGTGGCCGCACCAGCAAGAAGTGGTCAAACTTAATTGGGCCCGGATTCATTTTCGAAGCCGCTCAATTCGGACGCGATGTGACATCTCTTTACACAGAGTGAGCCCAAGCGTTCAAGGAAAACAAACGGAATGTGTGTATCGTTTTTCAATTCTCTCCTCCTTGGTGCGTCTTCCTAACATTGTGTGCTGCCGATTAATTTTTTCGCCATCGCCGCGGTTTTTAGCCACGTGTGAAAACGCCGATTTTGCCCTCGATCGCCGCACGTGCTACCACTTTTCGCATAAAAAATGTCCGCTAAATTTTACAAATGTTTTTAAAGAAAATGCACTGTTTGTGCGATTAAAAGCGCTATTCACTTTTTTTTCGGTCCGAAAGAAGCTTCTCATTTTCAAACCAGCGAACCCCCGACCGCGCTCCGAGATGCATGTTTGCCTCCAAAAATGCGGCCCTCCGGCGTCTGTGCAACAATAAAGGCGACTTGGCAACAATGTAATGCACTTTCATGGATGCGCTTCTCACGTGCACTCAAAATTTTGGCCCTCTTCCACGAGAGGGAGTCTAACGTTTCGAAATGCGTTTAATAATAAAATATCAAAAGAAAACTTACATTGATCACAGACAAATATTAGTGCATGTGTGATGCATTGTAAACAATGGGGACAAATGAACAAAAAATAATAATTGTAATATTAAAGAAACGCCTTTTTAAAATTTAATATACAAATAATGTTATTTAATATTTTAATTAATTTATTTAAATACTTATAAAATTTTATTTACAAAAATTAATTATTAAGTATATATTGAAGATTGTTTTAAATGATTTAATTTTAAATTTTTTTTTCATTTTCTTGAAAAGTTAGTTCTTCCAAGTTTTAGAATTTTTATAAAATAAAGTTAAACCACTACGATTTCAGATATCACTGATTTCACCTTCACATGCCTTAAATTTCCTTCAAAACTGAGTTTTCAATTTGATTTTGATATTCCGTTGTTTGTTGTCAATAAATGCAATTATCTATGGCGTCATAAAATTAACGACTTTAAAGCCGATTTTCAATATAGAAAAAATAAATTCATTCTTTTATACATATAATTCTTTCATAGTTAGTGTCTTTTTTTTAATAATGAATTTTAAGGGAGGTGTTAAATGCATATGAGTTTTATAATTCTAAAACATTATCGCTCATTTCTTCTATTTTAGAATA